CCAACCAGGCTAGGAGGAAATTACTGGAGGATTAATATCATTCTGGGGGAATAAAAGTAGATCAAGAACAAATTTAGGGGAAAGAATTACAGAATTTAAATTCAAACTACAAAATCTAACACCGTAGTAAATATCAAAGTAGTGAGTAATTGAATGACAAAATGAAAAACTCCAACATGATACATTTTGATCCAAGAAAGAACTTCTTTACATTAATATTGCTTCGCATTTCAGATTAATAATAATTTGGATCTCATCCTAATAATTTGATATTCAATTAGCCACTATTAGTCCAATATATATATATATATATATATAAATATGGTGGACTCTCTCATCTTATTCAACATATGAGGGTCAAGCAGCTCAGTTCTTAGGAACCGACAACCCAGACACCAACACATATGATTTAATTATAGTGGTGAAGTCTTTGTGCAGAACCAACCAAACTTTTTGAAGGTCCAAATAGGGAGACCTGGTGCACTACATGCCACAAGGTTCCCAAACAAATCTCTGAAGGTTTTGAATTCAGAGATGTCTTTCTCCTAGACCAGTTACCCTCCAAGGCTATAGAACCCAGTCTGTTCTGCTATTTACCCATAACTGGAGGGAAAAAAAGAGGATTAATACCTTTCATAAGGGTATTAGCATGTAAGTGAATGTAATGGATTCGACTAGAATTCAAACTCGGCTCACCGATTCCTCAGTTCGAGCCAGTATCCACTACTCCACCATGCCTCCATATATATATATATATATATATATATATATATATATATATATATATATACATATAATATTTTAATTACTAAAGGATTAATGCATTTTATTTTTAATCCAACTTATTTTTATTACTTTAAATGTTATTTTGAGTGCATGAGTGAATATATGTATTTGAGTAGACGCTCCATTTATTTTAAACAGTATTTTATTTCATTTACCTGCCTGCATATTCAAGAAAATGTACCCTTCAACAGGATTTGAACTTTTATCCTCCTTTACAGGAGAAACCATCATTTAATCTGACATGCTTTGACTACTCAGCTACAAAGAGCTTCACAATCGTGTAAGATTCTATTTGCCTTTAAACTTGTCCAGATTTTCTCGAAAGTCATAACTGCTCAGTTTTGTATTCAAAACTTAAATGTAAAATAAAATCTATGAATTCTTTAGAAATTGCTTTGTTTATATTCTGGATATGAAACTGAGAAGTTATGACTTTTTACTTGCATCCTCTCAAAATTACCTAAGTTACTACACTCTTTTACACAATTATAGAATACAAACAAATCTAAGTCTCATGAAGGAAGAAGCTTGAAAACAATTGACAGGTGAATTGATAATTCTTACTTGTTCTTATTTGGCCAGATTCAGAAACAGAGTTAGGAACTTCAGAAATGCTCTTGATTGAAGGTTTTACCTTGTTGGTAACACATTGAATTATTCCCCTTTGATACAGTTTCTCCTAAAAAAAAATAACAAAGCAATGTATATAGTTATTTAATTTAAAAATTAAAATCTTTTCATTTTCAGATTTAATTATGTAATATAACAAGATTATCTACCAAATAGATGGTGAAAAGTTCTCAACCCAAACAACTCCCAAAAATTCTTCTTGTCTTCTGCTCTCTTCTCTCTCTGTTTCAGCCATCATGCTGTAGTGACCTTCTTGAGCAGTGGGATATCTTTCTTTTTAGTAATGGAACTTTTTCACTCATGCATATGTGTATCACTAACACAATTCTTAACTTTTAATATCTTCTTTCTTTTGCATGCATACTGTGTATTTTCTCTCTCTTGTTACTCAGGTATATAAAAACAAAAAAGGATAAAATATTGTCTTGTCCATTCTGTTTCCTTATACCTGTCATTTACAAGTGCAAAATATTGTTGCTAATGCTTTCAGTCAAAATAGAAACAATGCTGCAATAGTTCGGCAACAATGACATGATTTCTACATGCAATATGATCAAAACAGATGTTTATGTATTGATATTTATGTACTTTTATATTATTGATGTATTCAATATTGATATTTGTTATATTTGATTTGGTGATAACATTTGATGATATTTATGTATTTTTGATGGTATTTATGTATTTTTGATATTATTGATGTATTTGATACTGATATTTGATATATTTGATTTGATGATAATATTTGATGTGATATTGATATTTATGTATTGGTATTACTTCAACCTTTATGCAATGAACATTTCTGTAAGATAATTTTCAATATAATAGAAATCTTCTCTCCATCATAAAATTGAATGAAAGATACATTACCCGATTGTAAGTTTCTGCAGTTTCATAAAGTTCTGACTTGTTCTCAGCACAACAAACACAAGAATATATTTCTTGTTTGGCCTGTAATAAATATCATGACATGAAAAAAAATTAATATAACCAAATTTGGGAAATTAAAATGAATGATAAGAATTCAGGGCAAAGTTTTAATTTTCCATTAATACCATGGGTTGTTTGGACATTCTACAAA